AGGGTTCACTGTACATTAATAATATAGACTTTACCTTAAACACACCTGTAACCTGAAGACCTGAAACTACATGGTGTATGAAGCAGCAGAAAGCAGCTATACCAAGAGCATTGAACTCTTGGTAGGTGGACTAACATTAACTTACTACTTCAATGTTCAACTTGCTATATTAAGTTACATAGTACTCTGGTAGAACTGTGGCTGACATTGTCAGTGAATATTATTGTAAGTTTTGCCTGACCATCAACTTGTTTGTGCAAATAGTGTCCAATATCATAAGGATTGATTCTGTACAAGTGAATAATTTAAATATTGTGATATACAGTTAGCCTACATTTGTTTAAGCTCCCTCTCAATACTATTTTAAAATTAGTACCACAGGCTAATCAATGACATCATAAACAGAAGGTCCTTATGCTCCAGGAAGATGATCAGTAAGATTCCCTACCATAAATTAACAAGGTATCTTGAAGGTGAACCAGAAACAGATAAAAAGCATAGATCCAGGAATGGTTTTGGGGCTCACATTTAATCCTAACTCCAATCTAAGAATAATCAGTTATTATGACATGGCCCTGGTCAATACTTGCCCTCAGAAGGAAGCCCAGAAGATACGGGTGCTACAGCAAACTGTGGTGAAGAAATGAGATGGTGCCCGGCTAGTAGATAGAATAGCGTCTGGGGTCTTCAAGGATTGTTTCCAAACATGCATCCATCTAAGTGAGCCATTAACTAAGCCCACATGGAAGAAGCACAACAACATCCATGACCCAGAATTGTAAAATTATATAATCCAAATCCAAAGGAGTGAATAATATCAAAGCTTAACTTTTGAGGTTCTGGTGTACAAAATAGTGATCAAAGTGGAAGCCCAAAATACAATTGCAGGATCTAGACAGGGTATAAACCTCTGATGATTTCCCTCTAACCATAATTGAGGGATGAGAATAATCTAGTTATCAGAGTATTGGAAGGATGACTACAGTAGATTAAAATGATAAATCTAACATGAACAGCTAAAACCTCGTCACTTGATCTCCCTTCTGGTTCACTTTGGGCTTGATGTGGTTTTTAATATTTTTTCTTATTGGGATTTATCTCTGCTGTATTTTATCATTGTTGGTAGCCTTCTTGACTCTCTGTTATGTGTTTTTCCAAGTTTTCTGGTATATGAAACCCAGGATAAGTGAGTCTATAAAGAAAACTAGAATAAGGGTTGGGGGGCAGAATGTACATACAGCAAGAAAGGTGAGATAGGGGGAGCTGATATCAAGGAGTTCAAGAAGGATGGAAATGTTCCAGAACTGCTTTTTGTAGCAACTGTACAACACTGCTTGATACGATTGAATTATGGAATAGTATGGTATCTGGATTAACCCCTAATAGAGAAAAAGTATGCCTTCTCATAATTCCATGGCACATGGACAGTTTTTGTTCTATGTTTTTTTTTGGCAGGTGGAAAACTTTAATGAATTAACCACCACTGACAATATAACAAGACTCCAGGATAGACCGGGAGGGGCTGGCACACAGTCTGCCTCCAGGTCCTGCAACCTCATGGCCTATTCCCTGAGTGCCAACAGCAGGGTGGCCGGTCTGAAGCAGCCTCAGAACTTCAGGGGAATCACTGGCCAGTACTTGGGCGGCTTGCGATCACAGAGCTTGTTGAAGTTCAGCTGCACAGTTGCCTCCATGGCCATGATCTTGGTGGCGCTCTCCCCATACAGACGCTTCATCTCGGCCTGGCGCCTCTCTCCCGGCCTCTCAGAGGGGGGCTCCACCGACCGGTGGATGGGGAAGTACAGGTCGTGGTCGGCTTTCACATACTGGCTGAGGCGCTCATCCTCCAGACGCTGCAGCCGCCGCCGCTCCTCTTTGTGCCGCTCGGTCTGCTCAAAGTACTCGCGCAGCTCCGGGGTGATCTGCATGTTGCTCAGGTCACACTCAATCTCCCCCTCTGACTCGCTTACCATCGTCTCCTCTGACGTCCAAGCTGCCACTTCTCTGTTAGAGGCCTGGAACAGAGCGCAGTCACGTGGGTGCTGCTGAGACCCCCAAGGATGCAGATGTGCACCCTGGGGCCTGTGGGCACCTGAGTGAGGGCCATAGGAGGGCCAAGGACATTCACTCTGCTCAGCAGGATGGCTGTGGTTTACAGACAGAGCAGAGAAATACCACAGGAGATTAGCATAGGATTCTAGAGCCTTTCTGTAAGCAAGGTGGTGGTTTTGCATCCAGGCCATTCCTTGGTGATAATGCTGCCAGTATCTCTCATAGACCGGATGGGAATACCAGGGGTCTTTCGAAGATGGCGCCTTTTCTGCCATTTCTGAGGGTTGTGTCCCGCCAGGTCCCAAAATAGTTTGCTTTCAATTGAGTAAGCGTTCCAGCAGGGTATTTCCGAGTGTTGACACTATTGTCTGTACATTTGCCTTAAACGTGGCCTGCGCTTCCCGTTTCCTGGTCTAAATTCTGGAGCACACAGTGAATGTAGACTCGTGGGCATGCAGCTTGCAGATATAAGGACCTATTTTTTGGTGGGAAGACAGGGTGGGGTGGTTGCCAGGTAACCTTGTTCCATGTCTTACTTGGAAACTCAGCTGGGACTAGAATGTCAAGGAAAGTCAGTCTCATTCACATTTGAGGCCTTTGTGTTGGCTGTTGGATGGAGTTTTCTTTCAGGTGGCCCATCTCTCCCCCTATGTAGCTGCTCCTTTGTTAGCTTGGCGACTTTTCTAAAAATGAAAACAAAACCAGCAGGCTTCATAAGAACTAGGCTTAGATCAAGTACAGTTTCATTTCTGCCACATTCTGCGAGTCAAAGCAGTGACAATGCCAGCTTAGATTTAGGAACAGGCTCTACCACTTAATGCCTATCTTCAAAGTTCATCTTTGATAAGCATATTCATACAGAATTTTGTACATAATATCAGGGAGTTCACCAACCCCTAAAAGCTGTCTATGAAGTACCTTGGGCTCTTGAGTTAGGTACCACTGCTTTAAAGTACAAAAAAATAATAGTATGGTCAAAGTGGATTTATTCCACTGGAAGCACTCACTAGTCTATACTAAGAAATTTGGACAACAGCTCACTGGTCAACTGACTGAAAGAGATCCATATTTGTGCCTACTCCAAAGAAAGGTAACTTACCCAAGAGAATGTGGAAATTATTAAACAATATCATTAATATAACATTCAAGGGAAATCTTACTGAAAATAATTTTTATTTTTTGAGAAGAATGGGAAATTCAAGACATGGGGAACCTGTACATGGACCATGAGACAGTTGTTCACAAAGCGCTAGGAAATATATTGAGGTTTAAAATCAGAAAAGGTGTGTGTCCAGGGTTCTACCCTTTCACCATACTGATTCAACCTGAGCAAATCATCTGAGGTGGACTATACGACAAAGAAGGCATCAGGACTGGAGGAAGAATCACTAACAACCCGCAATATGCAGATGACACAACTGTGCTTGCTGAAAATAAGGAGCACTTGAAGCACTTGTTGATGAACATCCAGGACTGCAGCCTTCAGTGTGACTGACACTCAATGTAACCTAAATCCCCTCAACTGGACCAAGAGATAACAAACATCCTGGTAAATCTCGGAAAGTTTGAAGTTGTCAAAGATTTCACAGTACTTGGATCCACAACCATGCTCTTGAAGCAGCAGTCAAGAAATTAAATGATATATTTCATTGGGCAGATTTGCTGTGCAAGACCTCTTTAAAGTGTTAAAGAACAAGGCTATCACTGAGGAGTAAAGACTGCCTGGCCCCAAACCAAAGTATTATCAATTGTCGCATAGGCTTGTGAAAGTTGGGTGGTGAATAAGGAAAACTCTAGAATGTATGCCTTTGAACTGTGGTCAACCCCACAGGAATATTGAGAGGAATATTGAGAGTACCATTGACTCCCAGAACAAAACCAGTAAAATCTGTCTTGGAGGAAGTACAGCTCCTTAGAAACCAGGCTCCTTGGAAACCCGGATGTGAAACTTCACTTCTAGTTTGGCTATGCCATCAGGAGAGAACAGCCCCTTGGAAAGGGCATTATACTTGGTAAAGGAGAAGGTCCGTGAAAGAGGAAGACTCAATAAGATGAGTCAATACAGTGGCTGCAATGTCCTCAAATATAGCAATTGTGATGGCACCTAACAAGGATGAATAATCTTTTTTTTTAATGGATAATCTTGATGACAAACTCTTTCTCAGACAGTCCAGCTTCTCATATTATTTGCTCAATAAGTATGGCGAAAGGACAGGAGTCAGAAATGAATGGTACCCAACAATAAGGTTCATCTACATGCAACTATGTAATATAATCAAATTGATAGTTTTATGGGTTGTTTTAAAATAAATTCATTCTATCATGCAGGAATGGATGTTACTTGGCAATACACGTGGGAAGTAGCTCTTGAACCTGATTTTTGCCAAAATAACAAGAAATTTTGCACAAGATGCAATCACTTTCATAACATTGTCTATGAGGTCAAAATGTTTATTGACCAAACGGTATTTGAATAAATTCAGAAGATAAAAAATAACCTAAAATGTCTAGAAAAGAATGATGGCAGCATATGTAAAAATATGCTTGATGCAATTGATGTATGGATTGTTATGAGTTGTAAGAGCCCCAAATAAAATTATTTTTTTAATTAAAAAAAATATAACCTTAAACAATGCTATTCTCTTTAAGTTTTTCATTACAGAAGGTTCTCTGTGAAGTTATTCCCCTTATTGTTAAAAGTTGAAGGATGACAACCCCATCAAATCATTGAGGTACAAAGGATTAAGGTTGAGAACCTGGATTGCTATTTCAAAACTCAATTTCAGTGGAACTGGCTCTTACATATACAACTGTAATCTCCTCATACAAAAGGAAACAACATACTAGCGATATCTCTAGATTCAGTTATTCATCTGTCTACTCTCTGAATTGGTGGGATAGTTACGGTTTTATGTCAATTTGGCCGGGCTAGAATTCTTAAGGTTTTTTTCCCTTAAGGCTGTGTAGGTGAGACCTAGCAATGCCCCATCATGAGATCTCCTCCAGAGTCAGGCCTACTTCTAATATAAGTGGACACTGGCTCATCGACCTGATTCTTTGGGCCTGTCATATTGCCTCCCAAAACTGCTGGTTGTCAGCATCCTGTCTTCTTACCTGTCACCTTGAATTCACATGCCTCTACAGCCATCAGATCTGCCATCAGATCCGCTGACCTTGGACTCACTCACCCCTGCTGCTTCAAATCCTGTCATCTGAACTGTTCACCTCTATAACACACACACCTTGGTGACACTGTGAGCTGCTAACCACAAGGTCAGCAGTTCAAAGCCACCTGTCACTCCTCAGGAGAAACAAGAGGCTACCTGCTCCCATAGAGATCTACAGTCTCAGAAACCTTATGTAGGGTTGCTATGCATCAGAATTGACTTAATGGCCATAGATTTGTTTGGTTTTCTACATATAAATTTCACTGGTTTGCTTCTCAAGAGAACCCAGCTTAAACAAGTACCAAATACATTAATAGCCCAGTGGTAGGCATTTGGGAATATACATTATACATTTAATTCATATTAAATACATATTTATTGATAGCCTACTATATATAAGACTCTGGGACTAAAGCAAAACAAACAAGCTAGTTTTCTCTTAAAAGTTACATTCTAAAATTAGGGAGACAGGAAAATAAACAAATAATAAATGTACCAAGAAGAAAAGGAAAGCAAGTCAAGGGGAAAAAAGTGATGATATATATATTTTTAAATCACCAACGAGTCAATTCCAACTCAAAGTGTCAACCCTATATAGGGTTTCAAGACTATCAATCTTTACAGGAATGGACAGCTTCATCTTTTTCCCTCCGAGAGGCTGGTGGATCTGAACCAATGGCCTTGTGATTAGCATTACAACACTTACCTGACAGTGTCACCTGGGATTCTTAGCAAAACATTTACTCTCCAGTTATTTCAACTTTCACCTGAGCAAACCAGAAAACAAACTCACTACCCTCAAGTCAATGCTGACTCATAGTGACCCCCCTGTGAGTTTCCAAGACTGTGACTGTTTATGGGAGTAGAAAACCCAGTCTTTCTCCCTTGGTGCTGCTGGTGGTTTCCAACTGCAAAAAGACGATACAGACCCTTTTACCCCCACAAAGGGAAATAAAGATCAAACGGTTTTATCTTCCTCCCATAATGAGAAGTCCAAAGGCAGACAAACCAGGATGTCATCAGGAACCTACACCATTTCTTCCACCAGTCTTAGTTTACAGCATAAGATAACTTTACTGTCACAACACAGATGAGTAAAACTCTTATCATACACCCATTCTGGACAAAAACAAATGAGGAAATGGTCAAAGACGTGCCACGTCAGCCAATCCTCCTATTTAAGAAGTTTTCCCAGAAGTCCCAACAAACAACTCATTAACGTCTCAACTAACCAGAACTCCACTTACCAGCACTTAGTCACTTGGCCATCCTGAGCGGGAGTGGGGGGAACCCTAAGTGCTCTGCTCTCAACAAACTAAGGTTCTGCTATTAAAGAAGAAAAGGAGAATGGGGAGAAGTTACCTGGAAGTGTCAGGCACTGTTCTCGGCACTAGGGATACAGCCTACATATAATGGCTTAAATTATGAACTTTTATGGTTTTTTTAAACGAAATGTGGTTAGGTGGTCTTTGAGGTTGGCACACGAACTCCATAATCCAGAGTACTAGTTGGCATCTACGATTCTCCTTGCATTCCCCTCAAGATCTTAAATTGGCTCGAGGCTACAGATATTTTTTTTAAAAACAGAAGGGTTTTCCTTAAATGAGCTGTCTCTTTCCAAGGAGAAGGAAAATCATTCATTAAAACTCCAGTAGACTCTCTTTGATGTTCCTTGCCCAAATTTGGGTCCAACTGCAAAGGAGACAGAGAAAGTGAGTATCGCACAAAGTAAACACAATTGCCTTGATTCATCCCCTGGGACTGAGCACAAAAATACCCTTTAAGGGAAGAGAGGATGGGGAAGATGTTTCTTTGGAAAGGAAAGAAGCCCTAGTGGTGCACGGTACATCAGCAGTTCAAACCCACCTGCTGCTCTGAGTGAGAGAGATGGACCTGCCTGCTCCTATAAATATCTATAGAAACTCTACCTGGGCTCACTATGAATCAGAATTGATTAAATAACAATGGATTTTGATAAGAAAGGATGTAAAAAGGTGATTTGGGGAAATACAACTAAAATTGACTCCACAAAATAAACATGGAGCTTGTATCCTGGTTAAGAGAGTATTTTTAAACAAGTAAATGTACAAATAAAGTAATTCAGATTCTATTAAGAACTATAAAATAATAGTGTGATATAAGATATTATAATCAGCATATATGAAGATAAAGCTAAAAGAAAAATTACTAATAGAACTGAATTTGGCAGTATGAGAAAAAGAAAACATGATTCCAAGTTAAAATTGATTTCCACTAAAAAATGCTCAACAAAGAGACTGGGGAGGACCAAAGACACATCACTGTTAAAACAGAGAATTAAGTATAGTCCAGTATTCTTTCTTCTCTATCACCTGTGTGCGAAAAGCAGGAAAGCAGGACACAATGGTTCTCTGTAAATTTGTAATGCTGGAAATAAGAATGAAAGTCAAATGTCTGTAAATAGCTGGCTGCTTAGTAAGTTGTTGCTACTTGTTATTTTTGTCTTTCTCTGTAGGACTGGTTAAATGAACAAACTGCTTCCTGAACTCTCCTTGTGTCTCACCACACTATAGAACTGTAGTTTGGAACTACCAAAAATGTTAGATGGCTCAGAATAGAAGCAAGCAGCCACAATATTATGTAGCAAAGATGGGAGTAGCTCCAGTGGCAACAGTGTTTTCTACTGCAACAACGCAGAGAAAACGGTTACAGAACCTGAGAGAGTCCAATGAAAAGCCTACGTTAAGAATTAAAGTGTTGATACAGTGTTTATGGTCTGGCCACAAATAACTACGTAGTTGTTAAATACGGGTAAAGTGTATACATGAATATACCATATGAACTAATAGACCTATTAGGTTTAGCATGAGTAAAAAAGAACTGCTAGTCTTTGCTTTCAGATAGAGTTGGCAGAAAAAATGAATTTAGCATTGTTTAATAGGTTTTCTGGTCTTAAACAGATAAAGATTAGATTACATTTAAAGATCCTATTTGACACTATTACTCATCAGGGACTGACAAACCTCCTCGTTCCTAACAAGGGAATACACAGATAAGCGCACTAGCAAACCTAATGGTTTGAGTAAGGTATCTGGGGAGACATACAGGCCCACAGGAGAAACGCTCAGCAGGGAAAGCTCCAAACTTCTGCAGAGCTCGCAGGATGGATCTGCCTGCTTTCCAACGGCTACCACCCAGAGTAGACAGCAAAAAGTTCAGCAAGCAAACAGTCACACTTTCCGGCCAAGGCCAACTAATACTTTGTCATTGCCTTTAAAAGCTTTTGTTTGGGGAGTGGGGGGCGTGGGGGGTAGTGGATCATTTTTTTTCTGGGGAGAAAAAATGACTTGCCTTAAGTATCCTATTGGTGTCTCCACCCAAATAATATAGAACTTGATGTAACCAATTAAAACAATCTAATTTACAAAACTCTAACACAAAAGAAGTCCTGGGGGATCTTGGTTTGTGCGTTGGGGCTGGGCTGCTAACCACAAGACCAGCAGTTCAAAAACCACGAGCTGCTCCTAGGAAGAAAGATGAGGCTGTCTGCTCCCATAAAGATTTGCGGCCTGAGAAAGTCAAAGGGGCAGTTCTCCTTGGTCAACCAGGGTCGCTGTGGGTCAGAATGGCAGTGAGTTTTTCGTAGCACGAGGAATTCCGACTCCCCTCACCCTTTCCTGTGAGATTTTTTATTTCCTCCCTACCCAAGCCTCTGTCTGAACTTTCTCAATTCAGCTTCCAAATGTGAAAGGCCTTCCCGCTCCCCTTTTTGAAAGTCCCTAGCTGCCTCAGGAGCCCCGGTGGCACAGGAGCGAGGCTAACTGAAAGGTCGGGGGTGTGCACACGCTCAGCGGGAGAAAGAGGTGGCAGTGGGCTTGGTGACAGCCCCATGGGGGCGGTTCGGTTCTACTCTGTCCGAAAGCCGGTGGCTCGCTGACACCACACTAACCAGTCCCACAAAATATGATGTCTTCGGTTCTGATCACGAGGCCCAAGCTGTCCCTTTCGCCCACCCCAGCGTTTAACCCCTTCCTGCTCTTCGGATGACTAAGGTATCACGGGTGACCTTTAGTTTGCAACGAACCCAAACCAATCGAATAGGCCTCGGGCCCTCCACAAGATCAGGAGTTTGACGCTAGTCCGCACTGGGAAGCGAAGGAGCCGAGAAGAGAAAACGGCCGGGCGCAGGGACGAGCAGTGACCAGACGCACATCCCCCGCCGAGCTACCCGGCCCAGAAGCATCACGCGCTGCGTCTGCGGAGCTGCGGGGAGGCCGCCCTGCACCCCCTTCCCCGGCCGGCTCACTTCCGCCCCCCCGCCATGCGGCAGACTGCAGCCCGCGAGGGGAGGGGGTTCCGGGGAGGACCCCGCCTCTGCGGCAGCAGGCTGGGCGCCGAGTGGGCGCGCCGGCCGCCGCGCCGCCAGGGCCCGCCCTCCGAGGCCGGCCGCTACTTAAGCCGCGGCCGCGCCGCCCCCGCCTCAGTGCGTTACTTACCTCGACTCTTAGCTTGTCGGGGACGGTAACCGGAGCCCGCAGCCCGCTCCCGCCGCGTTCCCCTTCGCCTCCCGCCGCGTCGCCAGCATGGTGAGTGGGCCGCGCGCGCCGGGCTCGCCCGGGACTCCGGCCCCGAGAGAGCGGGGCGCGATGCTGCCCGAGTTCGGAGGGAGAGCGAGGCTAGAGGGCGGAGGAGGTGGGACCCCGGTTGGTGGGGAGTGGGGCCGCGAGAGAGCGGGCCTCCCCGTTTCTGCTCGGATTCTGGGGCGCGGGACAGGGGGCAGTTAGTAAAGGTGGCCCGCGGCGCCTAGACGCCTGACAGCCTTTTCCCGCGCGTCCCCCCCTCCCCGTTAACGCGCGGGCGCGGCGCTCACTTCCTCCTCGGCGCCAAAAGCGGGGGCGGGCGGGAAAGGCGGACGCTGGGAGACGAGAGCGCAGGCGCGACCGTTACCTTCCCGCCACTGCAGCCTGCGCGCCTGCGCACTGCGGCGCTGCGGGTTTATAGCTGCAGGGCGTGTCGCCGGTTTTCCGGGGGGGAGGGGGCGGTATTTTCCAAATAAAACGATTTGATAGCTAGTAGAAGCTCCTGGACGGTCTACTGGGTGGTGCCCTAGGTGCAAATGAGTGCCGGTGGCGCACGGGAGCCTTAAAATCAAAAAGCCTGCTGATTTACATCTTGAGATCATTAAAAAGTTTGGAGTATAAGTCTTCGCTGACACGTGGGGTAGTGATACTCCCGGGCAACTGGTTACTGATTTAATTAGGACAATTAACTCCCCCAACAGCCTGTCGCGGCCATCTGCCCATCCCTGGCCTCCTTTGTGTCAGGAATGCTTGTGGGAGCAGCTGGTGGCAGTGAGGGATTTTGAGGGAACTGCAATCTGATCTCTGTCCAGATCTGGGCTGCTGATAATTCCCTACTGCACCCTCAGAGATGGGCTGAGCCCAACCCCGAGGAAGTAGGATAGGCGGTGGTTTCACCTCAATAGATATGGCCCCCGAGTCCCTCTGCAGCTGTGCTGCTCTGCGCAGGACTGCAGGGAAGCAGGGGCCACTGACACAGCTAAATGCTCATTCATCTTGTGCCGCAGAGCCCCGCCCAGTTCCTCTCAGCTCTGGCCACATGCTTCCCAGGTCAGAACTGCCCGGATGTCTGGTCTTGACCACCCAGTTGAAACTGGAAGGGAGAGAGCCATAAATGTTTGAAGGATGAGCCTATGTAGATATTTTGATTTTTCTTTTTCGTTTCCTTCCCCCCACAGCGTGAGTGCATCTCCATCCACGTCGGCCAGGCCGGTGTCCAGATCGGCAATGCCTGCTGGGAGCTCTACTGTCTGGAACACGGCATCCAGCCC